ATCTGCAAATTTGGTAAGAAGCTTCTACACCATCCTCGACACCAGCTCCTACTACCACCTGAGATCCCTAGCCCGAGAATTGCTGTTCGACACCACAACCGCATCCAGCCCATACGTGCACGAAATGATCGTTATAAGAACAGCCCAGTCCCAACCATTGTAAAAATTATCAATAACTTGTAATAAACCAGTGTATTCACTCCCAGTAAACACTACTCCTTGCACTGTCACTATGTTGAAATGAACTATAATTTGAGCTTTTCCCCATCTAGCTATTATATATCTTATTTGTATCACTTATGTTACTTGTACAGTTAACCCTCACTTTACGCGGTTAATGTAACCCGGAGGGTACCGCGGAAAGCGAGAAACGCGTAAAGTGAATAACATAACATATGGGGTTAATTGAAATGGAGTCCAGGCCGATCCCCAAACTCCACTTTTTGACGACACATAACTATGTTGTAGTAAAAATAACATCTTAATTTTATGATGGTACATGCACACAATTAATACTTAAGAGAAATAGAGAAATACAGTCGCCAAGTTAATGTCCATTCAAATAATGGACACGACTCCCTCCCCCTCTTCTCACACTACACTGCTGGCTCTTCCCTCTCTGAGAAATTTTGGGGGGAAAACCAGGTATAGTAATAAATAACACCTCAAACTAAAGTTAGGATAATATAATTGACATTGCTGGATTCCTTGTAAGACCTGGAATATTTTGAATATAAATGTCATATATTTTTCACAAAAGATAACATATTTACTCAGAGAAAACATTTTATCTAAAATTTGTATGTCTAATGCAAAATCTATGATGTTTATATTCAAAATGATCATCAAATTGTAAGAATTCCAGCAATGTAAATTATATTCTGGCCGGGTAATTTGTATGAATTTTATGAGCTAAAATAAAAATCTTCAGTTAATAAAAAAAAAATATTCTTCACACGGTAACAGATGGTCGGTCACCGGTCCCTCCCTCCCTCCCCCCCACCCCCCCACCAACGTCCCTACTAGATAAATGTGTGGGAATACCAGACTGTTTACCTTTTTAGTAATAAATAATAAATCAGACTAAAGTTAGGATAATAAAATTGACATTGCTGGATTCCTTGTAAGACCAGGAATATTTTGAATATAAATATCATATATTTTGCACAAAAGATAACATATTTACTCAAGAGTAAACATTATATCTAAAATTTGTATGTCTAATGCAAAATCTATGATGTTTATATTCAAAATGATCATCAAATTGTAAGAATTCCAGCAATGTAAATTATATTCTGGCCGGATAATTTGTATGAATTTTATGAGCTAAATTAAAAAAATTATACTTCACCCGTGTAAAGGGGTACACCCACCGCGGAATGTGAGCATCCTGGGTTCTGGCAGGGCACCGCGTAAACGTGGAAACGCGGAATGTGGGACCGCGTAAAGTGACGGTTGACTGTATATTATTTGTAATTTGAAACCCATTCCCCAAATATGTAACTGTATATTTTCAGCCTTCTGGCTGCCAAGCTCTTTCAATAAACCGTTAATTATTATTATTATTATTTAACCTGGTCTCATGGCTCACTGATTTCCTGAGTCAGTGTCATCAGGCAGTCAGGTACCAGGGTTCTGTCTCCACATTCCAACACCTCACCTGCGGTGTTCCCCAGGGGACCAAGATGGGACCACTGTGCTACCTAATCCTGATCAACGACGCTCTATCGGACACTCCTCACAGGTGGAAGTACGTGGATGACTGCACAGTGGGGGTTACAGTGGACAACACCGCACCAGACTACTCATCGCTACAAGGCACCCTGGACAGGCTACAGGCATGGACTACGGAGAACAAGGTCACCATCAACCACACCAAAACCGTAGACATGCACATCAATACTGCCACCACTCCAGTGCAAGCTCCATAAGTCACAGTGGGTGCCCATCCCCTCCAGTTAGTGCAGTCTGCCAAACTCCTGGGTGTTACCATAGACCACAAACTGGACTGGAAGGCCCATGTAAACAACACAATCAAGGCAGCCTCGTACCGACTCTACATGCTATGACAACTGAGGTCACTTGGGGCACCCACGCCAGAGCTGAGGACTATCTACAACGCCTTTATTCTCCCCAAAATAACATATGCGTCCCCAGCCTGGTCGTTTTCTCTCAACTCTACCCAACGTCAGCTAGAGAAGGTACAGAAAAGAGCATGCAGAATCAAGCTCGGCGCAGACTATTCCGGCTACAACGCTCTCTCCACCCTGGAAATGCCATCCCTCAGTGACCTCCACCACCAAGCACTAGCAAGGTTTGGCAGTGGACTACTGCACCACCCTCGTCATCGCCACCTCCTGCCACCGGCAGTCCCCCGCCCACCTCGTGCAGTCCGCCACTACAACAAAATTCAGCCCATAAGAGCCCGCACCGATAGATATAAGAATAGCACCATCCCATCTATTGTTAAAATAATAAACAACTCCTGATTTATGTACTGTACAGCCCTGTAAATGTATTGAACATATATCATTATGTCTAAATCAAATGTAAGTTTGTATATTTTCACCCACCGGCTGCAACTGTATTAATAAACCATTTATAACACGCGCGGAGAGCATGGGTTTATACAAATAATTTTAGGAGTGGAACCCTCAAGTCACACACACACATCAACAGCACTATAAGAGGAACACATCAACAGCACTATAAGAGGAACACATCAACAGCTCTATAAGAGGAACACATCAACAGCACTATAAGAGGAACACATCAACAGCACTATAAGAGGAACACATCAACAGCAGTATAAGAGAAACACATCAACAGCACTATAAGAGGATCACATCAACAGCACTATAAGAAGAACACATCAACAGCTCTATAAGAGGATCACATCAACAGCACTATAAGAAGAACACATCAACAGCACTATAAGAGGAACACATCAATAGCACTATAAGAAGAACACATCAACAGCACTATAAAGAGGAACACATCAACAGCACTATAAGAACACATCAAGCACTATAAGAGGAACACATCAACAGCACTATAAGAGGAACACATCAACAGCACTATAAGAGGAACACATCAACAGCACATCAAGCACTATAAGAAGCAAGAGGCACTATAAGAGGAACACATCAACAGCACTATAAGAGGAACACATCAACAGCACTATAAGAGGAACACATCAACAGCACTATAAGAGGAACACATCAACAGCAGTATAAGAGGAACACATCAACAGCACTATAAGAAGAACACATCAAGAGCACTATAAGAGGAACACATCAACAGCACTATAAGAGGAACACATCAACAGCACTATAGAGGAACACATCAACAGCACTATAAGAGGAACACATCAACAGCAGTATAAGAGGAACACATCAACAGCACTATAAGAGGATCACATCAACAGCACTATAAGAGGAACACATCAACAGCACTATAAGAGGAACACATCAACAGCACTATAAGAGGAACACATCAACAGCACTATAAGAGGAACACATCAACAGCAGTATAAGAGGAACACATCAACAGCAGTATAAGAGGAACACATCAACAGCAGTATAAGAGGAACACATCAAGAGCACTATAAGAGGAACACATCAAGAGCACTATAAGAACACATCAACAGCATCTATAAGAAGAACACATCAAGAGCACTATAAGAGGAAATACATCAACAGCACTATAAGAGAAACACATCAACAGCAGTATAAGAGGAACACATCAACAGCACTATAAGAGGAACTCATCAACAGCACAGCACTATAAGAGGAACACATCAACAGCACTATAAGAGGAACACATCAACAGCACTATAAGAGGAACACATCAACAGCACTATAAGAGGAACACATCAACAGCACTATAAGAGGAACACATCAACAGCACTATAAGAGGAACACATCAACAGCACTATAAGAGGAACACATCAACAGCACAACAGCACTTATAGAGGAAACACATCAACAGCACTATAAGAGGAACACACGTCAGCACTATAAGAGGAAACACATCAACAGCACTATAAGAGGAACACATCAACAGCACTATAAGAGGATCACATCAACAGCACTATAAGAGGAACACATCAACAGCACTATAAGAGGAACACATCAACAGCACTATAAGAGGAACACATCAACAGCACTATAAGAGGAACACATCAACAGCAGTATAAGAGGAACACATCAACAGCAGTATAAGAGGAACACATCAACAGCAGTATAAGAGGAACACATCAACAGCACTATAAGAGGATCACATCAACAGCACTATAAGAGGAACACATCAACAGCACTATAAGAGGAACACATCAACAGCACTATAAGAGGAACACATCAACAGCACTATAAGAGGAACACATCAACAGCAGTATAAGAGGAACACATCAACAGCAGTATAAGAGGAACACATCAACAGCAGTATAAGAGGAACACATCAACAGCACTATAAGAAGAACACATCAACAGCACTATAAGAGGAACACATCAACAGCACTATAAGAGGAACACATCAACAGCACTATAAGAGGAACACATCAACAGCACTATAAGAGGAACACATCAACAGCACTATAAGAGGAACACATCAACAGCTCTATAAGAGGAACACATCAACAGCACTATAAGAGGAACACATCAACAGCACTATAAGAGGAACACATCAACAGCACTATAAGAGGACACATCAACAGCACTATAAGAGGAACACATCAACAGCACTATAAGAGGAACACATCAACAGCACTATAAGAGGAACACATCAACAGCACTATAAGAGGAACACATCAACAGCACTATAAGAGGAACACATCAACAGCAGTATAAGAGGAACACATCAAGAGCACTATAAGAGGAACACATCAAGAGCACTATAAGAACACATCAACAGGAACAAAAGGTATGTATGCAGTACCATAATCACTCATGATATATTTGGCTCACACTGTATAGTAACATTTTTCACCTGAGAACACTTACCAAACAGTTCATTCATCTGGTCAAAATATTCACACCTCTTCTTGATCTCGTGGCGGTGATTGTAGTCAACAGTCCAGCGGTACTTCTGCAGGGCTTCTCTCCATCTCATTCTCAGCTGCAACATGTCCAGTGAGATGATGAGTTAACACATCTTCAAATAATTATGATGAATGATGATGGTGATGATGATGATTGTGGTGATGATGATGATGTACATAATATATAGGTGGTGTAATATATGTGATGTGTATGATATATAGGTGGTGTAATATGTGTGATGTGCATGATATATAGGTGGTGTAATATATGTGATGTGCATGATATATAGGTGGTGTAATATGTGTGATGTGCATGATATATAGGTGGTGTAATATATGTGATGTGCATGATATATAGGTGGTGTAATATATGTGATGTGCATGATATATAGGTGGTGTAATATGTGTGATGTGCATGATATATAGGTGGTGTAATATATGTGATGTGCATGATATATAGGTGGTGTAATATATATGATGTACATGATATATAGGTGGTGTAATATATGTGATGTGCATGATATATAGGTGGTGTAATATGTGTGATGTGCATGATATATAGGTGGTGTAATATATGTGATGTGCATGATATATAGGTGGTGTAATATATGTGATGTGCATGATATATAGGTAGGTGGTGTAATATATGTGATGTGCATGATATATAGGTGGTGTAATATATGTAATGTGCATGATATATAGGTGGTGTAAATATGTGATGTGTGATGTGCTTGATATATAGGTGGTGTAATATATGTGATGTGCATGATATATAATGTGGTGTAATATATGTGATGTGCATGATATATAGGTGGTGTAATATATGTAATGTGCATGATATATAGGTGGTGTAATATATGTGATGTGCTTGATATATAGGTGGTGTAATATATGTGATGTGCATGATATATAGGTGGTGTAATATGTGTGATGTGCATGATATATAGGTGGTGTAATATATGTGATGTGCATGATATATAGGTGGTGTAATATATGTGATGTGCATGATATATAGGTGGTGTAATATATGTGATGTGCATGATATATAGGTGGTGTAATATATGTGATGTGCATGATATATAGGTGGTGTAATATGTGTGATGTGCATGATATATAGGTGGTGTAATATATATGATGTACATGATATATAGGTGGTGTAATATATGTGATGTGCATGATATATAGGTGGTGTAATATGTGTGATGTGCATGATATATAGGTGGTGTAATATATGTGATGTGCATGATATATAGGTGGTGTAATATATGTGATGTGCATGATATATAGGTGGTGTAATATGTGTGATGTGCATGATATATAGGTGGTGTAATATATATATGTGATGTGCATGATATATAGGTGGTGTAATATATGTGATGTGCATGATATATAGGTGGTGTAATATATGTGATGTGCATGATATATAGGTGGTGTAATATATGTGATGTGCATGATATATAGGTGGTGTAATATATGTGATGTGCATGATATATAGGTGGTGTAATATATGTGATGTGCATGATATATAGGTGGTGTAATATGTGATGTGCATGATATATAGGTGGTGTAATATATGTGATGTGCATGATATATAGGTGGTGTAATATATGTGATGTGCATGATATATAGGTGGTGTAATATATGTGATGTGCATGATATATAGGTGGTGTAATATGTGTGATGTGCATGATATATAGGTGGTGTAATATGTGTGATGTGCATGATATATAGGTGGTGTAATATATGTGATGTGCATGATATATAGGTGGTGTAATATATGTGATGTGCATGATATATAGGTGGTGTAATATATGTGATGTGCATGATATATAGGTGGTGTAATATATGTGATGTGTGATATATAGGTGGTGTATATGTGATGTGCATGATATATAGGTGGTGTAATATATGTGATGTGTATATATATGTGATGTGCATGATATATAGGTGGTGTAATATATGTGATGTGCATGATATATAGGTGGTGTAATATATGATGTGCATGATATATAGGTGGTGTAATATCTGTGATGTGCATGATATATATGTAATATGTGATGTGCATGATATATAATGTGGTGTAATATATGTGATGTGCATGATATATAGGTGGTGTAATATATGTGATGTGCATGATATATAGGTGGTGTAATATATGTGATGTGCATGATATATAGGTGGTGTAATATATGTGATGTGCTTGATATATAGGTGGTGTAATATGTGTGATGTGCATGATATATAGGTGGTGAAATATATGTGATGTGCATGATATATAATGTGGTGTAATATATGTGATGTGCATGATATGTAGGTGGTGTAATATGCATGATGTGCATGATAAATAGGTGGTGTAATATATGTGATGTGCATGATATATAATGTGGTGTAATATATGTGATGTGCATGATATATAATGTGGTGTAATATATGTGATGTGCATGATATATAGGTGGTGTAATATATGTGATGTGCATGATATATAGGTGGTGTAATATATGTGATGTGCATGATATATAGGTGGTGTAATATATGTGATGTGCATGATATATAGGTGGTGTAATATGTGTGATGTGCATGATAAATAGGTGGTGTAATATATGTGATGCACCACATAATGGGTCACAAAGTTTGAGAGCCATTATTCTAGACCAACATTATAGTGACTTGGGGCTGCACCACTTTGTTCTCTCATCTCTAGCTTCCTTGAGAATCAATCCATGGCAGTTGTTGTCGAGGGATCGATTTCTCGCTCTTTCTCTACCAATAGTGGCGTCCCACAGGGTTCTGTTCTTTCACCAACTCTCTTTCTTCTTTTTATCAATGATTTACTTCCCACTACAACTAATTCTATCCATTCTTACGCCGATGATTCTACTCTTCACTCTTCCTCACATTTTCCCCTTCCTCCTAACTCTCAAACTAGATCTGTTTCTAGAACTGAAATCATTACTTCTATCAACGCGGATCTGTGCAGCATCTCTGAATGGGGAGATACAAACTTGGTTAAGTTCAATAGTAACAAAACTCAATATTTACCAATTACACTTTGTAAAGTAGACGATCTCCCACCAATTACATTTCAGGACGCTATCATCCCCCAAATTCTGAAATAAATATGTTAGGCCTCACCATTTCCTCCAATATGTCCTGGAAATCACACATCCTTAGTATAACTAAAGCTGCCTCCCGAAAGTTGGGAATGCTGTACAGATGCCGCAGCTACTTCACTCCTGAGCAGTTGCTCCAAGTATATAAGGGATTCATTCGTCCTAACTTGGAGTACTGCTCTCATATCTGGGGTGGCTCTTCTTCTGTCCAACTATTAGATAGGGTGGAATCAAAGGCATTTCGTCTTATTAACTCTCCTCCTTTAGTCGACAATCTCTCTCCCCTTTCTCTTCGCCGCAATGTTGCTTCACTCTCTCTCTTTTACAGGTACTTTAATGGGCAATGTTCAGGGGATTTGGCATCCTGTGTACCGCCGGTAAGGCCGTGGGTTCGTAACACACGTCTTGCCCGCGGTGCCCACCATTTCTCTGTTGATGTCGGTCACACGAGAATGGCCCGCTATAGTACCTCCTTCTTTCCTCACACAGCCAAACTGTGGAATGCTCTGCCTTCTTCTGTGTTTCCATGCTCTTACAATCTGTCTCACTTTAAAAAGCTGGTTTTCCGGCATCTTCGTGGTGTAGATTAATACAGTATAACCTTTTTTTCTATATTTTCAATTTCTTTCCATTCTTTTTTTTTCGCCCCCCAGGCTCCGTTGTGGGTCGTTTGACCTGTGCCCGGGTTGGCTAATTCCCGTAAAAATAAAAATAAAATAAAAAAATAAAAACCAACACGTGTCTGTGCTTGTGGCTGCCACCATCTACTTTATTTGTAAACAATCCACACAACAGAACGACTCACTATGTCTCACCTCACACAGCATGAAAAAAATGCAGTACAGCACAGTACAGCAACACAACCCCGTTCACCAGTGAAGCACATAATAAATGTATTGTCCAAGTGACCACACCATTCTCCACTTTACAAGATCATATAAATAGTACAGTAATATAAGTGGCCCTCTTTTCAGTGAACACTTGTACATACTTAACTCATTTCTTCTTCTGCCTCCAACCAATTGCCATTACCTTTAATACTCCCACCCACTTATTCTCTCCCTTTTATTCCTTAATTCTCTTTATTTACTGCTGTCATGCCACGACTATGGACCAGCTGGCTAAGGACTCGCTGGCTGGTTCAAGCAGCAATTACTGACGTCAATCAACCTCACAGTGCGTCATAACGGGATTGGTCAATGAAATGCGACTACGAGGTGGTGCGACGGAGGTGAGCTAGTAGCCGCAAATCATCACCCAGGCAGTCAGACTCCTGGCTGGCCCGATCAACACTTGCTGCTGTGACCTGTTTGTGCTATGGGAGTCCTGCGGTGAGCTGTGTGCGCTGTGGGAGTCTTGCCATGAGCCGTATGTGTTGTGGGAGTCCTGCCGTGAGCTGTGTGTGCTGTGAGAATCCTGCCATGAGCTGTGGGAGTCCTGCCTTGAGCCGTGTGAGTTGTGGGAGTGCTGCCGTGTGAGTCCTGCCGCGTGTCATACCAGTGTTGTGTGTTTTAATTACTGAATAGTTAAGTCCGCCCTTACACGTTGTTAATACCAACCCTATTAATGTATTGGAAATAGTATAACAACTGCCAGGTATGTCTCACTTCTACATCATGACCTCTTCTTTATCCTGCCTGTCTACATCATGACCCCTTCTTTATCCTGCCTGTCCACATCATGACCCCTTCTTTATCCTGCCTGTCTACATCATGACCCCTTCTTTATCCTGCCTGTCTACATCATGACCCCTTCTTTATCCTGCCTGTCTACATCATGACCTCTTCTTTATCCTGCCTGTCTACATCATGACCCCTTCTTTATCCTGCCTGTCTACATCATGACCCCTTCTTTATCCTGCCTGTCTACATCATGACCTCTTCTTTATCCTGCCTGTCTACATCATGACCCCTTCTTTATCCTGCCTGTCTACATCATGACCCCTTCTTTATCCTGCCTGTCTGCATTATATTTAATATCTGTTAAATTCCTTACTACTCTCACTTCCTCAGCCAAACTTTCTCTAATACTGTACAATATATCATTGGTGGCTCTGGCTAGTTTTAGCCCGGGTTCCAGTCAATACTACTAAAACTTTGTCCAGTCTCTCCCTTAAATATTATTTCCATGAATTTACTCCACTACAGTCAACCCTCGCTTTACGTGGTCCCACTTTACGTGTTTCCACGTTTACGTGGTACCCTGCCGAAACCGGAATACTCACTTTCCACGGTGTGTGTACCCTTTTACGCGGAGAGCGGCGCGAGCAGGGTGCGCACAAGGTCGCCCAGTCATCAAAACATTACCGAGTTCTTCACCTGCCACCCACCACAGCCGGCCCAAGTCAGTGATAGTGATAATGATAGTGAGGATATGGACTTATATGGACTTTGAGGGGTTTGACAAAGAGGCCCTGCAAGCCTCTGTGGTGGATAGTGATACAGGTGATACAGGTGAGGGCCAATATATAATCTGCCCTCTGCCTCAGAACCAACCCCCCATCCCCGTGTGCCCAGCCATCTTTTCTACTAATGTAAGTGTTAAAAAACCTAATATTATTGATATTTCTCTTAATTATTAATTGTGTGTGCATACCATCATAAAATTAAGAAGTTATTTTTACTACAACGTCGGTATTGTGTCTGAAAAAGTGGAGTTTGGGGGTCGGCCCGGTCTCTATTTCAATTAATCCGATATGTTATGTTGTTCACTTTACGTGGGCCGCCGTGGGTTGAATTAACCGCGTAAAGTGAGGGTTCACTGTATTTTATTTCCTACTTTTCATCACTCCCAAAAATTCATTTTCTATCACAGACTGTATTTCCTGGTTCCCAAAATGCTATTGACTTTCTATAGCCCAAACTAAGACCCTGTGTAGGTCTTACTTTGGGTTACCAATTTCTTCAACTTCTTTTTTCTAAAATACTCTGTAAACATAAGATCACATAACAGTCACAGAAAAACCTATATCTGTCACCTGAAGAATAGTGAAGGTGTAGCCTGTAGACTCCATCTCCTTGTGTAGATTCTCCCAGTGTTCCATTCGCTTTTCTGTCTTTGTGACTAACAAGAAATGTGTCTTGGGATACTTGTGAATAAGGCGAAGTAGTAGCTGAGTAGAGCGTTCATCCCAGTCACCTGTTGAAGATAGACATATCACTGAGACAACTGGTCATCCATACAAATAATTTCAGAGAAACAATAAACTCCCTTTACTAATGCCAAAACACATCTGATTGTCTAAAATGTTACATCTATTTCACACCACGCACTATGTTTGGAACAGTGACATCCAACGTCTCTGTCTTTCATCATCCTGTCCCACCCGAGAACTTCTCTTGTGCGAGGAGCAGGACTCAGGATGACGGCAACTACTGCGACACAGCCCTCTCCTTACTTAACTGACCTGGTCACATACACACCCTCCCCTCCTGCCATCCACAAGGAACAGGACTTTCACCTTTGCCTATCATGCCCTCTTTACCTTACTGGTGCCATCAATGTATTCCTTCAAAGGAAAAATTCATAGAAAATGTAAGGATGACCTTCCATTAATGTACAGCCCCCTACACCATGGTCATTTACAGCCCCCTACACCACGGTCACTTACAGCCCCCTACACCATGGTCACTTACAGCCCCCTACACCACGGTCACTTACAGCCACCTACACCATGGTCACTTACAGCCCCCTACACCATGGTCACTTACAGCCACCTACACCATGGTCACTTACAGCCCTACACCATGGTCACTTACAGCCTCACCACACCATTCCCCCACGGTCACTTACAGCCCCCTACACCACGGTCACTTACAGCCCACACCATGGTCACTACACCACGGTCACTTACAGCCCCCGACACCACGGTCACAGTACACCACGTCACTTACAGCCCCCTACACCACGGTCACTTACAGCCCCTACACCACGGTCACTTACAGCCTCACCACGTCACTTACAGCCCCCTACACCATGGCCCCCTACACCATGGTCACTTACACCCCACCACAGTCACTTGGCCCCTACACCACGGTCCTTACAGCCACACCCCCTACACCACGGTCACTTACAGCCACCTACACCACGGTCACTTACAGCCCCCACCATGGTCACTTACAGCCCCTACACCACGGTCACTTACAGCCCCCACCATGGTCACTTACAGCCCCTTACACCATGGTCACTTACAGCCCCCACCACAGTCACTTACAGCCCCCTACACTATGGTGTCTTGAGGTGCCTCATATAGTATGGGAACTTTGGGAGCAACATTCACTACAATGCAAGTTAAGCGACATGGCCATTAACCCCTTCAGAACTCCAGGGACGCCACTTTGATATTTTATTCAGTAGAGAGGGGAGCCATACACACAAGGGGCTAAGTGTGATGCTCACATTAATGGCACAGCCACCAAAAAATGCTTCCCCAATCTTATCAATCTATCATTTTCTATAAATCTTGTGGTGGTCACCGTCCACTGTTGTGTGCTGCCATCTGGCGGGGGCCATGCATACAAACAATAATTAAGAGTTACAGTAGCAGCCTCCAGTCACACCACAATTATTGATGTTGAGAGACTCATGTTTTATCTATACAGTAATATCTCATTATTTTGTATCTGCACCTTCAACAATTTGCAGGAGGCAATACAATATGAAATATTAATACAATACAGCACAGTAATTCATCTTGGACAGCTACTGCAACACAAACAAATGGTCAGCAGTTCCTCTTCACACAGGTAATCTTTTCCCCTTACCTCAGGGGGTTTGGGGGTAGGACTGGCCATTGCCGAGTTCCCCCCACCCCCCTTTTTTTATTCAATACAGGATTGATACATTATAAAAGTATGTGTGCCAATCTATAACGGTATACAATGTGATGGAAGTTATCGGAGCGACAGGGGAAGCCACTTCACTTGACGACACGATACAGGAAATGGAAGACGAGGAAAATGAGTTTGAGGCTGTGGGAGGAGGTGCTGCTGGTGAGGCAGAACCAGAGCAGACTGAGAAAGGCATGACTCAGCAGCAGGTGATGCAAGTTCTCAGCAAGGATGAAGAACTCTAGGATGCTTTAATGAGTGCTGAGTCCAGCCTGCAACAGTGATATACTCAGCACACAGTTAGACAGTTTGGTGAAACCCTACTAGCAACATTTCCGGGAGTTTATCAAACGCTGCTGCCAAGCTCTCATAACCACCTGTTTTACGCCTCAACAAGTGACGATGACCCTGCTGCTCTACAGGTTGGTGATGAAGCTCAAGTCTCTTTACAAGTGTCTGCAGTTGATTTTGAAGGCTTTCAATCCAATTAGCCTTCACCCCTTGCCTAGACCCCCATCGTCTCCCAGACCTTCCCACATCTCCACTACTTGGCGAGTACAGTATAGTACAATAAAACCTTGATAAATCGGACTAATTGGGGCAGACCCCAATGCAAAAAATGCTTATCTGAGCTGTTTAAAGAAAATCAGTTGTTGTTATGTTACGAGGGCACTTCAGCAACTAAGGTCTTAAAGTGCATAACAAGTTTAATTAAAAAAAATATTACACCAACAATAAAAAAATATTGTAACAGCACCTTTAGCATTATATAAATATTTACCCAAATGTACAACACCAAATTATTCACTAAGTTATTCAACAATGACTCGGTAGTTGTTCACATTATACACGCTGAGCTAGTAACTCTCTGAGGTCGAGAGAGGTCACCTAACTAATCAAAACACCCCACTCCTCCCTCACGCTCGGAGGAGACGAGAGATTCTTACCACTATTTGAGAGTTCCGGAACTTATTTAAAACAAATGAGTGTGATACAAAAACAGCTACCACATACTGGTGGCAGCAGAGTGATGAAAACAATAGCCAGTGAAACACTCAGAAACAATAAACCAAGCAATTCTAGTGACATAAGTGGCACTTTAAGTGAATCATAAAAAACATGCATTTTACAAGAAAAATAAGTGGACAGTGGTGATAAACACTTGCAAGACATATACAGTACACAGAAACACAGTGGTAACACAGACATTATAAAAAGATTGCAAACTCCACAGTCAAACTCCCTCAGCAACAGCTGAAGATTTCTCGACTAGACCCGAGAGCAGCCGAACCTACCCGAGTGTTGGCTGAGTTTCACAGCCAGCCAGCCAGCCATTACACTACAGCACCGAAGTTATAGGAAGGTTGTCAACGTGGTTCCAGACAAGCAAACAACTTCTAGCTTAAACAATCAAGCCTCGTTGGTGAGCAAGACAGGTCAGCCCCAGGTCAGTCCCCAGGCTGATTGCCACAAGATAGGTCAACCTCCAGGTGGATCACTACAACAAGGATCAGCCACCCCCCCCCCCAGGTTGACCACTGAAAGACGTGACGTCATCCCTCCCAGAGTAGTACGTCATAGCCAGCACGAAACTCTACGGACTCTCCACTCAGGTAGATCACAAATAATCATTATTTTATAAACTACACAAACACAAATGAACTTCAAGAAGTCTTCACATGTAGTCAATATAAAATATAAATTACCATATGTGCCGGCGTATGAGATGCAATTTTTTTTTTAATGTATCCCAAATTACCCTGTGTCTAATGCGCACGTATTACAGATGGGAGCCCGGGCGCCATAGGCGGAGGTGCCTAGCTAGGGAGTCTGGGACTAGCAGTAGTCCACTAAGCACAAACATTTTTACTAATAATATTACTCATAATAAAATACTGAAAACCAAGCCAAATTATCACAATCACAAACTTACGGCAAATTTGCAGAAGACGTAAATAATGGCTTATAATGGCTTAACGGCAGAGGGAAGCTCACAACATCTCACTGTACCACCTTCATACATAACCCACACCAGATACATGTCTTACATTATTTAAGGACTGTATTACCTTTAAGAAACATTTGTTTATTATCTAAGTGAAAAATACCCTTAGAAAGATTAAAGAAATGTTAACAGAAAGTTCAGCCGCCAGTCAGCCATTTGCAATGAGTCGATGATGCCCAAATAATAGTGATGGTGCTACACCCCGGTGGCAGATCGCGGCAACACAAAACATCACAGCCAAAAATACGAGTTTCACATCCTGTTGTTAATTTTCTTGACCAAAATATAAACAAGCCACACAGCTGTTCTGATCAGAGGCAGAGTTCCTTGCGGAAAGAAGCTGCCTGGCTAATGAGTGGTAAACAACAGTAGAAGCTTGGGCGGGCCTTTTGTTTTCACACATCTGGACCAGGGTGAAAAACTTTCTCAAGTTTTTTACAGCATTTGTGCATCCCTATTCAACATGAGCAAGACAGCAGGTGATGGTAGAGTTGTTTCAAAAGCTAATACAGTAGTAAGTGTCTAAGCTTAGCCGAGAAACTAGAGGTGTCAGAACGATATGAAAAAGGTGAGAGGTCTGTGGATATTATAGGGAGCAAGCAATGAACAGATTTTCTGTGGATCCATTAACAGAAAAAAGCATTAAAATTTATTAACACAAATGACCTCAACATAAAGATGTATAATGAGAAAAGAAAGCAGGTGTGCAAGGTTCTTCGACAGCTTTATTATTTGAAGGCCTAAACCATCAACTTCAGCTATACCATCAAATTCAGCATCATAAGCAGTTTCAACATCAACTTCAGATTCAGTAACAGTTTCATCAACAGCTTTATGGAAAGCTACAGATTCAGCAAGAGTTGAACCTACAGCTTTAGAAATAGTTGAACCTGATGACTTCGTCATCTGAGAAAAAACTCACACAACATCATTGGCTGTCCTTATGTTTTCGACTTTACCACTAATGGTGAGTAGAATTTTTGTTTTACATTCGTAAATATTATTTAAAACATATATGAACAGTAAATAAGTGTTGCTTTCATATTCATATGTTGAAAAATGACAATATGTTTTCACATGTACGCACTTACTGTTCATATGTTGGCGTTCCCAATCATCTCGCCTTATTTCTTTACCATTAGTGGTTAGCTACTTCTAGTGCTCCATTTATTAACATTAAATAACATTACTTAAAACATACATACAGGTATTCAATTTTTTTTAAATTAAGTTCACTACAGCTACAACCAGGGTCTCACGTAAACAATGCTGTCTTGTCTCCTCTTGTGTGTTTTAATATTCTATGAATTATTAGTGAATTGCATTGTTCATTTCACATATATAAACATTAATTCAATCAAATCCATATTCAGTTATAAACAATAATGAATCTTTTGTACATATTCTTAAGATAAATGACTTTCCTCGAGTGCGCACGTACTGTATACATTGGCGTTCCACTATCAGTCTCACTTTTTCTTTAATATCAGTGGTTACTTATGCTGTACATTAAATAACATTAATTAAAACATACATATTTGTTGCATTAATTTTACTACAACAACAACCAGGGTCTTTTTTTCTTCAGTTTCAGTCTTATCCTCTTGTGTGTTTTAATATTCTACGTATTATTAATGAATTGTATTGTTCATTTCGCATATTCAGTAATAAACAATAATGAATCTTTTGTACATATTCTTAAAAAGACAAATGACGCGGTATCCTTAAATGCACACGTATGTATATGTTGGCGTTCCCAATCCATCTTTTTTTTTCTTTGCCATTAGTGGATAGCTACTTCTATTGTTCCATTTATTAACATTAAATATTGTGACTTAAAACATATACAGGTTGTACCTCTCTAGTCCAGCATTCTGTGGTCCGGAAACTCCCGTGGTCCGGAACGATTTTAGTTTGTCCAATAGGTAGATAGGCAGCTTTTTTTTCTTTTTTTTTTCTTTTTTTTTATCTGAATTATTATTATTATTACAGGAGTACTAAATTTTTGCCCCTCAGGCCCCAATGTGGGTCAGTGACCTATGCCCGGGTGGGCTAATCCCTTTATTAAAAAAAATAAAGCTGGCGGGAAATTAAGGTTTGTTTACATCCGGCAGTCCGGCTGCTCTCTCTCTCTCTCTCTCTCTGCTTGTCTATACAGAGTACAACATTTAACCCTTCAATATATATGAGCAGTAAATAAGTGTTGCTTTCATATTCTTATGTAGAGTAATGACGATATATTTTCACATGTGTGCGCTTACATACGCGCAGTCTCACTTTTTTTTACCATTAATGGTTAGCTACTTATATTGTTCCATTTATTAACATTAAATAACATTACAGGTACTTCAAGCAACCATATTCATTTTCTACATTAATTTTACTACAGCTAAACTCAGGGTCTTATTTTCTTCAGTTTTATATGTAGAACCAATCAGTCACTGGTTTCGTAAGCTTTAACATAAACAATGCCGGCAGCGGTCTCGTCTCCTCTAATATTCCACGTATTATTAATAAATTGTATTGTTAATTTTGCACACACGTACATTAATTCAATAAAAACAAATTCAGAAACATTAATTAAAATATATATGAACAGTATATAAGTGTTGCTTTCATATTCTTATGTAAAGTAATGACGATATGTTTTCACGTGTGCGCATGTGCACTTACATATGCGATCTCTCTTTTTCTTTACCATTATCGTTAGCTACTTCTATTGTTCCATTTATTAACATTAAATAACATTACTTAAAACAACCATATTAATTTTACTACAGCTACAACCAAGGTCTTATTTTCTTCAGTTTTATATGTAGAACCAGTCAGTCACTGGTTTTGTAATCAACGAAAACAATGCTGTGTCATTTCCTCATGTATTTTAATTTTCTACGTATTATTAATGAATTGTATTGCTCATTTTGCACACAAACATTAATTCAATAAAAAAGACATTCAGTAATAAACAATAATGAATCTTTTGTACATAAGAGAAATGACGCTGTTTACACGATTATGCACGTCGTCTGCACGTTGGCGGGCCGTTCAAACCCGTCGAAATTCAGGTTTCCGCCATCAAAATTTTTATTTATTTATTTTTTTGTGTTCCAATAAAATACGTTAAGAATTAAAAACTCGCGAAATTTGAGAAGCTACTATACGACATTTAACCCTTCAATATGTCTTCAAAGAGACCATGACGCAGAGAAAGTGGTGCTAGTGCTTCCAGGCATATGCACAAGTCACTATCTATCCAGGAAAAGGGTGAATTTCCATGGTCCGGCAATTTCTATGGTCCGGCACCGGTCAGGTCCCGAGGTTGCCGGACTAGAGAGGTACAACCTGTATATTAATTTTTTTTACATTAATTTTACTACAGTCATCCCTTGGTTATCAAGCCTAAATGGGACTGAGCCGAGTGCGTGATAACGAAAGTACAGAACCTATGGGATTTATTCTAATTGGTTCCAGGCACCCAAGACCCAACTCCAATTTTCCCATTTTATGACCATTTAGACCCACTAAAGATATAGATAATAAAATGGTAAGTATCAGAAACACACATAGGCACGGCTAGGTTTATTACAAAGTGATGAAAAGGGTACGTGTGGATGGCTCCATCTAGTGCAGGAGGAGAGGGAACCTGAATATGTGCAAATTCGCACATAGTCGGGGCTCCTAGGAACGTAACCTTAGTGTACTCTGAGACTTTACGGTGTATGATATTTTCAAATAGAGATTCAGAAGACAATCATACCTACCTGTCAATAACATATACAGTATATCATTAGCACAATGCTGGTGTATATATACTGAACCATATTCAAATAATGACCTGCCACTTACCGAGTGTATCTTTGAAGCAGTAAAAATGACTTCTATTTAACTTGAAGTCCTTGTCTCGCATGGTACGATTGAGTCGATAGGTGTCGTCCATAGCTCGATATTTCTTTCTCTTCCTGACAGTTTTCTGAGCTTTGCCTTCCTCCTCATCCTGTGTCTCCTCACGGTCACTCACTGCTGCCACTGTATTTGAAGACTCCCTTATGTTTAAAACAAGTATATTATCTCCTTTATGTGAAGGCGAGACAGTTTTTCCTGAAGGAGAGTCAACTACACCTTCTGCTGGAGGACTCATCACTGGCAACAACTCTGCAACAAGGTTATATAATCATACACACACACACTGGATATAACAGGAAACAAGAATATATTATTTAAAAAGAACCAAATAAGAATTAATAAAATGAACTTTATGTTCACTGCCCTTCAACACAGTCTACTGTAGCCTCCTTTATAAGGCCAAATTTGCTAATCTCTCAAATAGAGATGAAGGAATTATCATGTCCTTAAGGAGTTTGCTTACAGGTTCTTGTACTGTACTGTACAGTATATGACTCCAAGAACCACATAACCACTCTATCTGGAACTCTGATTCTGAAATACAGGTTGACAATCCCTTATCCAAAATCCTTGGGGCCAGAGGCATTTCGGATTTTGGAATTTTTCGGTTTTCAGAATGGTTAATTATTATTTTTAATTTTTTTTAGCCCACCCGGGCACAAGTCACTGACCCACATTGTATTTCTTTATTATTATTATTATTTTATTATTACAGTATTATTGTTATTATTATTATTTTTATTATTATTATTATTATTTTATTATTAATTTTATTATTATTATTATTATTATTATTATTATTATTATTATTATTATTATTATTTTATTTTGGTGTATTTTTTATAACACTTTTTATTTACTATGAATAATTATTATAATTATTATTATTACATTTTCGCCCCCCAGGCCCTGATGTGGGTCAGTGATCTATGTCCGGGTAGGCTAATCCCTGTTTAAAAGGCCCCCTCAAAAAAAAACTTTCGGTTTTTGGAATTTCGGATAAAGGGTTATCAACCTGTACTATTGTATAACAAGGTACAGACCGAGTAACCCATGAATAGCTACACCCACATATATAAGAGTGTTATGTAAAAAAAAAAATTTAACTGAAGGAGAATTTCCCATAGACTCCCAATATAAAACCTGAGGTACAGTCAGCAAGAAAGTTCTGGAACAGCTGGACATGACAGATTTCAGAATGAGCATTAGAGCTCTTGTTATTTCAGTACGTCTGGTTGTGAAGTGAATTTCAGCATTTTGTAATATGTTACTTGTCTTTATAGTATCTACAGGTGAAAAGAAGTACGGGGATTTAATCTGCAATAAACTTCCTCGGAGAACGATGTTCAGATCTCTCGTTTATTTTGTCTTACTGTGTTGCATGATGCTTAGAGCACTCCAGAACTTTCTTTGCCGACTGTACAGTACATTCCTGAATAAAAAAATTCCCCAAACTTCATAAAATGCCACAAAACATGTTTTGAATGGAAACTTTTGGTGAATACAAAAGTAGATGATCTCCCACCTATCACACTTTCAGGACGCTATCATCCTGCCAAATTCTAAAAGAGATATGCTAGGCCTCACCACTTCCTCTAATATGTCATGGAAGCCACACATCCACAATAGTGCTAAAGCTGCCTCCCAAAAGCTGGGAATGCTGTACAGATACCGTAGCTACTTCACTTCTGAGCAGTTGCTTCAAGTATATAAAGGATTCATTTGTCCTAACTTGGGGTACTACTCTCATATCTGGGGTGACTCTTCTTCTATCCAACTGTTAGACAGGGTGGAATCAAAGATATTTTGTCTTATTGACTCTCCTCCTTTAGTTGATAATCTTTCTTCCCTTTCTCATTGCCACAATGTTGCTTCACTCTCTCTTTTACATGTACTTTAACAGGCAATGTTCGGTGGAGCTGGCATCCTGTGTACCGCCGACAAGGCCATGGGCTCGTAACTGATATTTTTTCGTTAACCGAAGTGAAGAATCTTATGGAAGGTAATTCGTAAACTGAGGGATCACTGTACAGTGATCCCTCAGTTAACGAACGCCTCAGTTAACGAATTCCTTACAAATTTTTTTCCAACATGTTTTCGCCTGATCACCAGCTGTAGTATTAGTCCGCCAATACAGTAATCGGTTTTAGGGCTTAAATTCGTTACCATTTGAGTAAATATCAAGAAGGTTGTACTATTCAATAATTTTCCAAGTCTTATATTAAAGTTTTTAGTCATTTTAACAATTATTTAACATAATTGAAGTACAGGGAACTAGTTTTTAGCGCGCCAAACAGCCACTCAACACACCCAAAATGGCGTCAGTGTGTGTCCCTGCTCAGAGGAGGAAGCATCTTGCTTCAGACTCTCTTGAACATAAACTATTTTTACATTTTTACAGTACAATTATTGGTCATTCTGAAGTATATTTTACATATTGACAATATATAATGCAGTGCAGTGTTAATTTAAAGAAAATAATCTTGAATTACACCAAGTGAACTAAAATTTTATGGGTGAAATGGCACCATGGGGTGACTTCTCTTCCTCCCCCACTGGCTTCTTTTCTCCCTTCTCCTCCACCCCCATTCTAATTCCCATCATCATCATCATCATCCAGGAGCCTTCTACATACACACCTCAAAGTAAGTGTACTTTTCTACCTTTTTTGTTGACTTTAGGCAATTTTCGGTGAGCTGGAACCAATTACCCAAAATTTCATTGAAACAATGGTTTCGGTTAACGAGCAACCTTCTAGAATGAATTGTGCTCGTTAACCGTGGGACCACTGTATACTAAATCACAATATATAATTACATGTAATCAATGGGGAAATAGGGTTAGGTTCTGGAGGCCAATAAGTGACTAAACTTGACATAAAATGGCACAGCCTAAAGTTAGTAGAATATAAATTGCATTGTTGGAATCCTTGCAAGACAGCAAATAATTTGAATATAAACATCATATAATTTGCATGAGATCCAAAAAATTCAACTCGTATTTTTGGGGCCTATTTAGGGTATTTTTAGGAGTGTTTATGACTTTATAAGGTTTTTTGCTTCATGTGAGGTCCCAGGAACATAACCCTACGTAAGTTGTGTCTACTTTAAATAAATCTATCGTTATATACTGAAAAATGTCGATAATTTAGGTAGTACAGTAGTGATAAACTTGAAATATTTCCTGCACGATTTCCCTCACGAAACAAAAAAAATTATCACTAAATATAGGAACAAAAATTATAATTTTGGTAGCCGCAATATAATTTTTTTTTTTACATTAAGTCGCGATATATCACGACCCAACTGTACTGGAAAAACGTTCCGAGTGTCTAAACTATGCATCTTGCACAGACAAACACTAGCCCACATCCTCAGAATGGTTCGGTGTGCTGGGGAGTTTTCCAAGAGTCTAACTAAAAATCTATATGATATGGTCATGAATGAAGCTGTGTGTTGCAGCAAGGACTGGTATTTTCCACTCCCTTGAAGCTGTGGGGGATTAGTACCAAAAGAACTATTACACACACCCCCAACATTACACATACACACCCCAACAACCACCCACACACACACACCCTCCAGATGTTGTTAAAAAGAGAACTTGAACTGATTCATATACAGTAAATGAGTACAGATCATAGAACTCTTGGCAAAAGCAAAAACATAACTCACCTTTTTGTGAAGAAACTGAAGGTTTGTCTTGTGGTCCACACACAGCGTCCATATCACTGTGGCACACATGTTTGTTAAAGGCATCAATGTTGTCATACACTTGGAAACATTCTCCACACATATATGAACAGTCCTCCATCTGTAGGTGAGACACAGTACTGTTAAGCCTGCCTACAATATAAAGTTATCTTAGAACGTTCAATAACGTGTACTATCGTGAACAAATGTTCGCTCCCCAGGGTGAAACTGAGTCACGGGAATGAGTCTCCAAACTGACTCACTCTGACTGTCATCTGGTGAAGGTGTACTGTTTTATCACATTTGGGGTCAATATTGCTTCAGTTTGGGAGGGAGCCAACTTTTCTCCACGATAGTACATACATAGTACAGTCGGCCCTTAACATACACGGGGGTTAGGTAACAGAGATACCCGTGAATGTTAAGAATCCGCGTATTTTTGCTGCCCCCCCCCCCCTAAAAGCACCCCTGGCCCCCCATGTCCTTATTTACCGTATATACCTGTGTAGTGTTCGAGTTTTTAAGACCAAATTTTTTGGCAAAAAATTGGGGGTCGACCTCTAAACGGGTAATAGTTTCGTTAGGTTGAAAAATATTCACCAGTAACTACCAGTAAACAATGGAAACGACGCACCACCTGTGAATGTCGGTACAGTTGCCAGGCCAGATCTCCTGCGTCACCATAGCAAGCCCAAAGTAGCCAAATGCATGGTATGGTAGCACAGGACAATGTAAAACATATAGTATTCATTTTTTAAAGTTTATTTATAGATACACAAATTTTTTTCATTACATTTGAAGCATCAATCTTTGTTAATTAAATTTGAAAGAAAAGAAAACTACGATACCGTATTTTCATTAAAATATTACATCACAAGTATATTTTACCTTAACTGTGACAGAATGAATATATTCTTAGAAATAAATATGGAAATGTAATATTTTGGCTGAAATGACGTACATATTACTGTCATGGGTTGCGTTGGGCCTCCCGCACAACCCATCCCAAATGTTTGTTTACGGTAGAGATTAGGTAACCGGCCAGCCATGACTGGGACATGTAGGGGGGGGGGGCAGGCCAGTGAGACAGTGGTGTACTGTTCTTCACTTCACGCCTCAAAAAACCAATTTAGCCAGTGGGCTTTAGACCTTGGTTTAGAGAAGACCTCCTGCTCCGCGGACCTAAGATTAGGGGCCATACAGTCCTACCAGTGCTACGGGTCTGTGTGTGCAAATCCCCGAGATTTTTTTGTTAAGTCCAGCGACAAGTTAACACATCCTGTAAAGGAAGTGATCAATGGTGAGGGCCTGTTTGCTACAAGAGCACTCCAGGCCGGCCTAATAGATCTAAACGATTAATTCACCAGGTTGACAAACTCTCCCTTATAACTTACGGTACTGTGGCGTGAATGTGAGTGACTGACCTATCCATGCAAATTATAAGTCCAGTGTATGGAATTGTGCCAAATAAACGTAAGTGCAATCATCTGCCCGTATCTGTGATCCCTCCATTATCATTATTACCAAGGGTAATGACTCATTGGTTATGACAAAGTATAACCAATAACTTAGATGGATGTTGGAAGTTAGTGGAATTCACTAAATCATCATTTATCTAGTACATAACGCATTGAGTGCCGGAAGCAGAGCAAAATTCTACGTAGTGATACACCATAATCTCTTGGGTGAGTAACCAGTGTGAAGGTATCCGAGTTCTACGGTAAGAAAGCCACTTCCCTGCACTTAAAACGTAACAATTACAGTGGAAAGTGGGATAAAATCATGACGAAAACAATAACTTTCGCTTTCTTTCGTTGTTCAAAAGATTTTACCGTAATCACTTTACGAATGGTTTTCAGTTAAAAAACTGTTGTATTACAATAATATTCTATCCTAATTCACTTGAATAAATACTACGATACAATATTTCTGAATATTTTCATTAAAATCGATCAAAATCATTTTCCTTGTCATCAGCACCAAACAGCTACTCCCAGTCCTCTCCTTGAACAGTATCGTCATATGGATCAACACCATCATCAGCCATAGGATCATCAATATCTTCATCCTCAATCACGCTCTCATTACCCTCATAATCCCACCACAAGTCGTCTTCTGTTCCATCAAGACCATTCGAATTCCCGCATTTCTTAAAAGATTTCACCACAATTTCTGGTCTGATTGCGACCAGGACGACCGGGGCTCTGCCGTATCAGCTAGACAGTACACGTGTTTTTCTAATCATTTTCAGTTAAAAAACTGTTGCATCACAAGTGAACTAGGATAGAATATTATTGTAATACAACAGTTTTTGAACTGAAAATCATTCGAAAAGCGATTACGGTAACATCTTTTGAACAAAAGAAAGCGAAAGTCATTGCTTTCGTCATGATTTTATCCCACTTTCCACTGTAATACGTACATCATTTCAGCAAAAATATTACATTTCCATATTCTCAGAAATAAATAGTAGCTTTGCCGAAACGTGATGTATTTCAATGTAAATTACAATAAACTACATGACGAAAACAAAAGACTTTACCTAACCTTCCAATGTTCAAGAGATGTTACTCATTTTTTTAATAGTTTTCGGTTAAAATACAGTTATATTAGTGATATTCTATTCATACTGTGCTTGATATAATACATTCGCGGAAATGTAATATTTTTGCTGAAATGACGTACGTAATACAGTGGAAAGTGGGATAAAATCGTGACGAAAACAATGACTTTCGCTTTCTTTCGTTCAAAAGATGTTACCGTAATCGCTTTTCAAATGATTTTGTCAAAAAACTGTTGTATTACAATAATATTCCCTCCTAATTGAATTGAATAAATACTTGAATGGAAATATACAATATTTTTGTTGAAACTATCCGCGTTTTAGTGTAAAGTGTAGTAATAATAAATGGTAAACAATTTGCCTTCGACACTCGGTGTTTCAGGCACGGTGAGCCTCAGTTTATAGGACGTAGAGTGTTTTTACTGAAGGTTTTGTTGTTCCAATACCCTCAAAAACTTGGGTCGACCTATAAATGCACTGCCATTTCCAATTTGCCAATACATTATATAGGAAAGATATAAGATGAGCCAAATGTACTTGGTAGGTTGCTGAGGTAATTGTTTACAACAAGTGTCATCTGTGACCCACGCTGATAATTACCACGGAAAAAATTATCCTGCTATATTTCACTGTTTGGGTTGTTGTTGTTCTGGTTGTGTTTAGGTACTACCAATGTTTGTAAGTTTACATTAGGTTATGTAAAATATTTTTTTAAATGAAATGTTCGAACTCACGGTTAGAAAAAGTGCCAAAATTGATTAATGATGTTATTAATTACTCGATTTAAATCATGTCAGTCCTATCTTACATCACCGGAACAACAATAAACAAAAGTTAAATATACTATGGACACATTTATTGGAAATTCTCTGTAATAGCCGTGCAACACGCTTGTAAACTATATCAAAAGTAATTTATCTTATATACTGTAAGTTGATTTGTATAATGTAGTTTGTTTGAAAGTAGAGCAAGTGTTAATGGAAGCATTATTGGTTTGGTAAAAAAATTGTTTTAGATAATAGATTTTATTATCAAGGTTATTTTCCAATAATTTTTGGCCTTAAATAACACATTTTATTTCCTCCAAACATTATCACAGAACAACTTAAAAAACACTACAGTTGTACCCCACTTAACGCAGTCAATAGAACCCAGAGGGTCCCATGTTAAGTGAAATCCGCGTTAAGTGAACAACAGAACATATGGGATTAATTCCAATAGAAACCGGCCCGACCCCCAAACTCCACTTTTTGAAGACACATAACTATGTTGTAGTAAAAATAACATCTTAATTTTATGATGGTACATGCACACAATTAATACTTGAGAGAAATAGAGAAATACAGTCGCCAAGTTAATGTCCATTCAAATAATGGACTAAACTCCCTCCCCCTCTTCTCACACTACACTGCCGGCTCTTCCCTCTCTGAGAAATTTTTGGAGGAAAACCACTAAATTTTAATAAATAATACCTCAAACTAAAGTTAGGATAATACAATTGACATTGCTGGATTCCTTGTAAGACCAGGAATATTTTGAATATAAATGTCATATATTTTGCACAAAAGATAACATAGTTACTCAGAAAAAAATTTTATCTAAAATTTGTATGTCTAATGCAAAATATATGATGTTTATATTCAAAATGATCACCAAATTATAAGAATTCCAGCAATGTAAATTATATTCTGGCCGGGTAATTTGTATGAATTTTATGAGCTAAAACAAATATCTTCAGTTAATAAAAAAAAATAATCTTCACGACACTATCTGTCAATCAAAGTACCCCACCTTGCCTCCCCCCCTCTTCCAACCGCGCGGTCAGTCCCAACCCTCCCCCCCACCCCCCACCAAGAGAAAGAGTGGGTGAAAAAAATAAATTTTAACATTTTGTATTAAATAATACCTCAGATTAAAGTTAGGATAATATAATTGACATTGCTGGATTCCTTGTAAGACCAGGAATATTTTGAATATAAACGTCATATATTTTGCACAAAAGATAACATACTTACTCAGATTAAACATTTTATCTAAAAATTTTATGTCTAATGCAAATTTATGATGTTTATATTCAAAATGATCATCAAATTATAAGAATTCCAGCAATGTAAATTATATTCTGACCGGGTAATTTGTATGAATTTTATGAGCTAAAACAAATATCTTCAGTTAATAAAAAAAAAAAAATATTCTTCACAGGGTAACAGATGGTCAGTCAGTCCCTCCCTACCCCCCACCAACCTTCCCAAGGAGATGTGTGGGAAAACCAGAATACTTAACTTTTTTGTAATAAATAATACCTCAAACTAAAGTTAGGATAATATAATTGACATTGCTGGATTCCTTGTAAGACCAGGAATATTTTGAATATAAATGTCATATATTTTGCACAAAAGATAACATAGTTACCCAGAGAAAAATTTTATCTAAAATTTGTATGTCTAATGCAAAATAATGATGTTTATATTCAAAATGATCACCAAATTATAAGAATTCCAGCAATGTAAATTATATTCTGGCCAGGTAATTTGTATGAATTTTATGAGCTAAAACAG